GGATAGCTTTCTTGTCTTTTTCCACTTAGTTTTTTGGCTAATCGCTGCATCGTCCGCGTGGCTGTTGGAGTGGAGCAGCGCCACCGGTGCATCCGAAAATTAGCGGGCAGAAGCTACTCTGCTCTACTCTATATATCTCAAGAATTGCGATTTAGTGGTATGCCGGAAATTAGCATGGGTACTGACAGCAAAATTGATAAATCGAATTTTTGTGAGCACGATGAAAAAATGATAAGCGATACAATGAAATTTCTTGGTGCAAATGCCAAGGAAATTTCCTCTTTCAGCAGACTCGGAAAATTTAACGCAACTAATAAAAGACCCAGACAAATTACGGTGAAGTTTCGAAATGTTATTACGGCAGATAGGTTATTTGTGCGTGCAACCATGTTGAAAAACTACTAACCAAACATCAAGGGAAACAAATATTCAGTTTTCTATCAAAATCCTTGAAAAACTTAAAATTACATCCAACGTAGACAATTCTACTTGTGCTGTAATCGAGGAGGGTGGATTTTAATTGACAATTCTCTTGATGCATTAAAATAGACTTGATTTATTCATAAAATTTTGTCGATGTATTCAAATAGCGTTGGTACGGCCCTATCAAACCTGTGCACAAACCGTCGCATGAGGGAGGGGCCCATTTTTTTAATTGACCTTTTTTATAAATAAAAAAAATCAAGAAAGGGAACGAAAAATTTTTTCAGGGACAGAAAAATTTCTTCACAGTGAAGACAATGTTGAAAAACTTTGGACGGATTTGCGCGAACTCCTGACTGAACAAACAAAAAAACTTGTACCAATAACTAAGCTCAATCCAGAGTCTAAAAACAACTTAATGTTCACCAATACCACTCGACAGGTAATTGAGGACATCAAAGGGTCACTGGAGATCATAAAATCTCGGCCTACGTGCAATCCTTCTCCTCCCCAACTGGAAGCCAAGTATTCTAGTGTCGTTAAATCTAGTTCCGATAAATCTCAAGAATAATAAAAAAACTAAATTACAAAAGGGGCCCTTCCGTTTAGTAACGACAAGTGCACAAGCTGGATAGGGCCATACAAGCGTTATAAAATGAATATATATCAGCAATTAAGTCAAAAATCAGCATTAAATGTATCGTCGTAATTTTAATTCATCTTAGCCGTCCTTCCTCTACTCTACAATAGCTCTTATGGAGTTGTCGCCATAAGAGCTATTGAAGGGGGGTGCAGATCACTGAACTTTGCGCAGTGATCTGCACCCCCTTATACAAAGTATAGAGCTCCTCAGGAGCGCGAAGCTTATTTTAGTTCTTATGTACTTTATAGATTCTGGATAGCTTTCTTGTCTTTTTCCACTTAGTTTTTCGGCTAATCGCTGCATCGTCCGCGTGGCTGTTGGAGCAGCGCCACCGGTGCGTCCGAAAATTAGCGGGCAGAAGCTACTCTGCTCTACTCTATATATCTCAAGAATTGCGATTTAGTGGTATGCCGGAAATTAGCATGGGTACTGACAGCAAAATTGATAAATCGAATTTTTGTGAGCACGATGAAAAAATGATAAGCGATACAATGAAATTTCTTGGTGCAAATGCCGAGGAAATTTCCTCTTTCCGCAGACTCGGAAAATTTAACGCAACTAATAAAAGACCCAGACAAATTACGGTGAAGCTTCGAAATGTTATTACGGCAGATAGGTTATTTGCGCGTGCAACCATGTTGAAAAACTACAAACCAAACATCAAGGGAAACAAATATTCAGTTTTCTATCAAAATCCTTGAAAATCTTTGCAAAAGTTAAAAAGTTCTATCATTGCAGTTTTTAAGAAAACAATCATTAATATGACTATACCTGTATTTATAAATGTTTTTAAAGGCCTCATAAGGCCTCATTTGGAGTTCTGTAATCAAGCCTGGTACCCGCAATTAAAGAAGAACTGACGATTATCCGAAAATGTGCAACGACGAGCGACACGAATGGTACAAGGGCTGCAGACACTAAGCTACAATGAAAGGTTGAAGAAACTAGAACTACCGTCAAATGATTACCGCAGAAGGCGAGGAACAATGATCAAAATGTTCAAAATAGGTTACAACCGTTATTACCCAAAAGCTACGAAAGACATGTTCGAATTGAATAATCGTGACACAAGGACAAATGAAAAGAAGGTGATAACAAAGAAGGCCAACTTCAAACTGCGGAAAATTTTTTTACCATTAGATCAGCTACAGATGGGAACATGTTGCCAGGAGAAGTAAATGACTCAAAGACCTTGAATGCTTTCAAGAATAACCTGGACAAACATTGGAAGAAAAGCAAAATTAAGAAATTTGAGACGAATTAATCGAAAAGGAGTACACCATGAGCTGATCGATAGAGGCGACAAAACGCTTAAAAGATCAGAAAAGAACTAAACTGAAACTTGTTAAAGAAAAGACGCGAACTACTCGAAAGCGAAAACGAAGCAAACGTTAAAGAAATCGGAAATAACATATTATACCTGAAAAAACAAGCAGTAAATTGCACTAATGACTACCAAACAAAACCGGAGAATTAAGATTCCTATGTTTGAATGTAAGAAGTTTATTCAAACTAGAAAGAAGACAAACTTCTTCGAACAGTATAATTTTAAAAAAACTTTGGTATTATTTGCCTTCTGAAACATGGCTTACATATGAAATCCGCGAATCCTAGACCTCTCTTGGAAATTAGAACTGTTTTCTATCAAACAAAAGATCTTCGCTGCAATCAACATCTCACGGTGGAACATTAATTGGCGTTAAGTCAGGCTTAATGTCAGAACCTGCAAATTTTATTTTTCATACCTCCGAAAAAGGAGTCTCAAACTGGTTAAATGCGCTGCCACTTAGCAGATAATATTTTAACCTGAATAAATCCGAAATCAGGGCTGGAATTTATCTCAGATATGGATGAGAACCAACCAACATTCAACTCACATGTGCACGTGGTCAATCTTTTGACCTTTCCCACGCTCTTCACTGTGCAAAGGGTGGATACAACCACATGAGGTATAATGAAATCAGAGATACCTTTGCCAACCTCATGAGCGAGGTTTGCTTTGATATCGAAATCGAGCCGGAACTTCAGTCGTTGCAAGGCGAGAGCTTTGTCAACAATTCAACCACAACTGATGAAGACGCTCGTTTAGATGTAAAAACGAACGGATTATGTGGCTGAAGGTTTAGCCGAACCTTCTTCGATGTCAAAGTCTTCAACCCGCACACAAAAACTTCACGAAGACTGCTGAAAGACACCTATAAGTACCACAAGTCTCTAAAAAACTCAAAATTCCAACAGAGAGTTCTACAAGTCAAACAGAGCAGCTTCTGCCCGCTCACTTTTGGCTGCACTGGTGGTGCCGCACCAGCAGCTACTCGGACAATGCAGCGCATAGCTGAAAAACTTAATGAAAAAAGGCATGAAAGCTACGCAGAAACAATATATTATATAAGAACTATATATATACCCAAGATAAGCTGCTCAGGAGTGCTATCCTTTGTATCCAGGGTTTCAGATCACTGCGTAAGACGCAATTCATAGACAATTCAATTAGTGCTGCTGTAGAGGAGGGACGGTTGAAGTAATATACTTTTAATGACAATGCATTAAATGCTGACTTTATTTAATTCCTGCAATAATGTTCATTGATGTATTTATATAATGCTGGTATGGGCCCTATCCAGCTTATGCACGACCTTACCTAAACGGAAGGGCCCCTTTCAGAATTTACTCCTTTTTTAAAACCAATGGAGCGGCAGTATCATGCTACTTTAAGCCAGATAAACGGAAATTGCTTGTTGTCTCTTGTTATTTACCGCCTGCAAATAGCAAATATGCTCTGAAACCAAATGAAATAAATAACCCGTTTAAAGACATAAATAAATTGCGAAAGAACTGTGATTTGTTTATTTATGGTGACTTCAATTATCCCGCAAAAAATTGGTGCAACATGTCATCAATTAACAAAACCGAAATATCATTTTTGGAAGAAATAAGGAATCTTGAAGTTCATCAAAATGTTAAGTTTAGTACTTCCTCAACTGGTACTATTTTGCTTTCAGTACCCATGCTAAGTTCCGCATCTCAAAAATTGTCGCATCTCATAAACTAAGATAAATATTGGGTATTCATAATTTGAGGCAAAAAACGCAACCCCATGAGAAGCCTGACAGTACTCCACTAATGGGTTGTTAATTTAGGACTAAGAAAAAACTGGAAGATCGATCAAAAAAAGTTTAACCAATGCAATATAAGATATAGTTTAACCATGAAAAAATTCTTTCGTTAAACATGCAAAAAAATCCGTCAAAAAAGTTTAAAAAACGACGAGATAGTGAAGCCGGCATTTAAATATATAATAGATAGATAATAGATTGATAATTTCCAATAAAACCAACCCAATTTTAAAAAACTGGACCAATACGTAAACTATTTATTCTGTTGGACAATTTGAAAATTTAAATCCACTTTCGAAACACTTTTATACTGACACTGAAAAAAAACACTGGCACTAAAAGGCCATGAAGTGAAAGGTTATTTGCGAGACACTGTCTGATAATTTTATCATTAGCTGTTACGCTGCTATAAATTGAAGCTCTGGGTAACCAATAGCACTCACGCTTATATGATCGCTTGATTTAATTTTTGGGTCGGAGTATTGAATTGGGCTCTCCCCCCCCCCCCCCCCCCACCTCACATGAGCATCAATTTTATGGTCTAACGAGTGATTTAACTATGAAGACCAAACATGTTTGTCATAGCGTAATTTGTTAGCATGTCAGTTTTCATGACAATAGGACAATGCGAACCGTAATTCAAATTATAAAATTTCCAGGCGGGGGGGGGGAAGAGCCTTGGATTGTACTACAACCTTAAAAGAAATCTTTAGCAAATCACGACGAGAGTTTTTCTGGTAATTTTTATCTGAGCGGTTATCAACCTTAGCCGAATCATATCAAATCTGCTCAAAGGATGTCATATGAAGCTTTCTTACCTTCCAGTAAATTGCTGATAACGAGTCCCTTGTCTATTCCATATGATGCACATTTATCTGAACCAGGTCCTTTGCACGGTTTGTGATATGCAGACAAACTCCTGGCCTTAGTGCCTTCAGCAAATTTCTGAAAAAAACAATATATAGATGACTCAGGCAATAAAAGGCATTGAGGACATCAAAGAGTCACTGGAGATCATAAAATCTCGGCCTACGTGCAATCCTTCTCCTCCCCAACTGGAAGCTAAGTATTCTAGTGTCGTTAAATCTAGTTCCGATAAATCTCAAGAATAATAAAAAAACTAAATTACAAAAGGGGCCCTTCCGTTTAGTTACGATAAGTGCACAAGCTGGATAGGGCCATACAAGCGTTATAAAAATGCATAATATGATGTACTGCTAGAAGTCAAAAATCAGCATTAAATGCATCGTCGTAATGTTAATTTATCTTAGCCGTCCTTCCTCTACTCTACAATAGCTCTTATGGAGTTGTCGCCATAAGAGCTATTGTAGGGGGGTGCAGATCACTGAGCTTTGCGCAGTGATCTGCACCCCCTTATACAAAGTATAGAGCTCCTCAGGAGCGCGAAGCTTATTTTAGTTCTTATGTACTTTATAGATTCTGGATAGCTTTCTTGTCTTTTTCCACTTAGTTTTTCGGCTAATCGCTGCATCGTCCGCGTGGCTGCTGGAGCAGCGCCACCAGTGCATCCGAAAATTAGCGGGCAGAAGCTACTCTGCTCTACTCTATATATCTCAAGAATTGCGATTTAGTAGTATGCCGGAAATTAGCATGGGTACTGACGGCAAAATTGATAAATCGAATTTTTTTGAGCACGATGAAAAAATGATAAGCGATACTGTTTGGAAATTTGCTTTTTGATGTTTCTCGTTTTGTGCTCACCAATAACGTGTAATATGTATGAATTCAACCAGAAGTTTGACTAATTATTCAAAAGCAGTCTAGTTTTTCAAGAAGGCACCATTCACTCACCAGAACGTTTTCAAGGTACACCACAAACCAGAGACATAATCTGTAAGTTTTTTTTTCACGTGATCATAACTATCTGGACATTTTTTTTGTGTGTGCGCGTGCTTTTGTAATGGGTCTTTTATCTCAAGTAACAATTGATAAAAGTGTGTTCTCGTACGAGCTAAACAAAGGCACTTTGAGATACTTATCTACTGCTAGAAAGTTAAGTATAGCCCAAAAATTATCTTTTAGCTGATTTAAATATATGAAAATTTTGGAGTTTTGCACATGATTCGTAATATGGACTACATTGCTGCGGAGACTACACATCTAATTTTGTTTTCTTCATTAGCCTTTTGTTTTCTTCATTAGCCTAATTGTTGTGATAAACTTATTAAATAGTTTCATATAAAGTAATGCCTGAGACGAGGAATAGATTGGCATCCAAACAGAGGGATTGCTGTACTGTTTGTACCAAACCAAATGGAAAAAACTGGATTCTGTGTGAGAGCTGCCAAAGATGGACTCACGGTGGGTGTGCTGGATACTCGAACGACGAGTACAAATTCTTGGCGAGGGCCAAAAATGTGATGTTTTTCTGTGACACATGCCTTCCATCAGCACAATGCAACTTACTGAAAAACAACATCTCCGCAGAGGTCACCAAGGAAATTACAGACTTGAAGGCCACAGTGGAGAGTGTTAAGTCTGCTGTGACGGCACTGACACCAACTGCCATAGAACCCGAAGCTAAGTATTCTTCAATTGTGAAAAATAATGCTGAATATTCACTAGAGTTAAGGTTCAGCGGTTTGCCCGAAATAAGCCATGCCCCTAAAAAACCAAACCGAAAAGAAGTTTTTGAACACGATGAAAAACAGTTATTTGATATTGTACATTATCTGGGTGTGGGAAAAGAAGATATATCCGGTTTCCGTAGGCTTGGCAAATACAATTCACAAAATCCTCGAGCAAGGCAAATTCTTGTTAAGTTCTCAAATACTTATACGGTTGATAAAATTTTAGCACGTGCACCAATGCTTAAAGTTTTCGAACCAACATACAACGATGAGGCTTATCGAGTTTTTGTTTCAAAATCTTTAAGCAAAGAAGAGCATATGAAAGAGCGAACACTTCTGCAAAAAAGAAGAGTGTTATTAGATACAAACCAACATGATCCAAAGAACATTCATGGAATTTTGTATTTAAATAACCAAGCAGTAGTAATTGATGAGTGACTAGACAATTCAACTGGTGAATTAAGCATGTTGTGTTATAACATTAGAAGTTTATATAAATCGGATCGAAGGAGAATTTTTTCGAATTTTCTGCTAGTAAATGCTGTTGATATTGTATGTATATCAGAAACATGGCTCACAGACGATATTGCAGAAGGCGAATTTTTTATACCTCAATATCAATGTTTTTTAATGAATAGAAAAGCAAAATCCGGAACAACAGCACATGGTGGGACTATGATTTGCGTGAAAAATGAAATCAACTCTGAGCAAGTTAAATTAAATCTTGAAGACAATGGTTCAGTAACTGCATGCCTGATTTAGTTATGTAAAAAGAAAATCCTTATTATTTGCTGTTATTTACCACCCTCAAACAGTACTTACGCTTACACGAACGCTGATATTGAAAACTTGTTTAAATGTTTGCAAAAAATCAAAAACAATTTTGATGAAGTAATAATATACGGGGATTTCAATTTCCCAACAATAAACTGGACGAGTCTTTCATCTGCTGTTGAGCAAGAAAATATTTTTCTTGATATAATTGATCGATATTGTTTGCAACAAAAAATCTCGTTCCAAACTGCTGCAACTGGTATTCTAGATTTGATTTTAGTGGGAAAAAACATACAGATAGTGAATATTGAAGACATTCAAAGGGATAACTATTTTAGCAAACTCTCGAATCATTTCCCGATCCAAGTTAAGTTTAATGTTGAAATATCGTCCTTGTTGCAGCAAAATTGCTGCAAAGATTTGATTTATAGCTACTGTAAAAGCGATTTTGGAAAACTACGAGAAACGTTGAATAAATTGAAATTCGAACCTTTCTGTTGGTCGAAGCCTAATAAAGTTCTGGAATTATGGTATAGCTGGCTCATTACCGCAATATCTCAGAATGTACCAAGGAGAACAGCGCACAGAATGTCGCTACTACCGTGGATTACGCAAAAAACATCGCATTACATAAAGTGCCTTAAAACTGCGCGGAAGAATTTTCCAGAATTTCATGACAAGGTCATAGCATTAGCTGATTTAGTCGATACCAGTGCAGAAACTGACAAAGTAGAATACGAACAAGAGCTGGCTGCAGAACGAGCATCGTCAAAATTGTTCAAGTATTTCAAAGCATTTAGGAAGTCAAATCTCCCGCGGAAAATGTTTTACGAGTCTGTCTCGGAGGAGACGGACAAGGGTAAATCAGAACTATTTTCTATCTTCTTCTCTTCCGTGTATACAAAATCGACAAAACTTATTGAAGGGTGTAATGGAAAAGAATGCGTAAAATTGATTACCACTGTAAATTTTTTCGAAAAGGAAGTAATTAAAATTTGCATGAACTTGGACATAAACAAGAGTAATGAAATTCCACCAATATTGTATAAAAAATTGTGCATTACTCTTTCTCATTCTCTTTCACAGTTATTCAGGAAAATTTTCCAAACAGCCATTTTTCCAAACGATTGGAAACAAGCAATTATGAGTCCATTATTTAAAAAAGGCGATAAATGCCATGTTACAAATTACAGACGGGTATCTCTGTTATCAATAGCTTCGAAAATTCTAGAAAGGATTATTTTTAGACGACTATACGATCATTACCATTCTTTTTTTCACGCAGCTCAGTTCGGCTTTAGGAAAAGACGATCAACGATTCTCCAATTGATAATCTTTTTGCAAAAAGTGTACCAGGGCATTGAAAGTCAACATGATGTTGATATAATCTTTACTGACTACAGTAAAGTTTTTGACAGAGTGGATCATGGTATGCTTTCGAAAAAAAAATTTCAAACGGGCATCAGAAACAAGCTACTGAAACTAATCGAATCATACTTGACAAATCGAGTACAAGTCGTGCGTATAAATGGAGTAAACTCGTCACCAATACAAGTTACTAGCGGTGTCCCGCAAGGGAGTATTTTGGGCCCCATACTTTTTCTGGTTTTTGTTAACGACCTCCCGAAAATGTGCGATCAATTATTTCCCCTACTTTTTGCCGATGACGCCAAATTTTTCAGCGTGGGTTTAAGCACAATAGATATTCAAAGTGATTTAAATGCGTTGTATGACTGGACCCTTAGAAACAACATGCCCTTCAATATGGATAAATGCTGCCTAATTAAAATGTCCAAAAACGAAAAACGATTGCTTTTTGGAAACGAATCGATTAAAACAGAGGAAACTCAATCTGATTTAGGGCTCATGCTTTCCTGTGAATTAAAATGGAATTTGCATATAATTAAAGTTTGCTGCAAAGCAATTCGTGTTTTTCACATGATAAAAAGAAGCGTATCGAATCTTGGACAAAAAGCTAAACTGGATTTGTATAAATCTATGATCGTACCAATACTCACGTACGCAAGTCCATGTTATGGATTGAGTAAATACATTATTACGGAGCTTGAAAATGTGCAAAGGCGTATAGTTAAATGGATAATTCCGCATATGGATTCGTACAAAGATCGGTTAATCGAAATTTCACTATTGCCACTGCCAATGTATATGCAGATCAACAACCTTCTGTTGCTGTCAAAAACTTTATCAAAAAATTACGATGTTGACATGTTGAATGTTCCATCGTATTCCTGTTCCTCGCGCGGTTGTATGTTTCAACTCGAGAGGCCGAAAAAGAAATTTTTGGAGGACAAATTCTTTTACCAAACATGTCGGCTAGCAAATGTGATCAAAATTGACGTGAGAGAAACAAGCAGACTGAAGAAGCGAATATTGTGGTTATTTTGGAGAAAATTTGAGAAGGACTACGAACAAATGAACAAGTGCACATGAAGAATTGCTTGCGATTGCAAAATGAATGACTGTATGAATGAAAGTAAAACTTCACTATAGAACGAAAAACTGACAGGGGGAAACCCCTTGTGCTACGAGCACAAAAGCCCTACTACTACTACTACTCAC